GCTGAGATAAGAGAGAGCAAGGAGGAGGAAGCAGCATCTCTGAAATGTGTAAAGAGGAACGGAGGAGGGGGAAAGAGAAGGGCAGGGGATTGGGGAGAATTTGGAAAATGAAAAAAAATAAAGAAAGGTGAAAAACAGGAAAAGGGATTGCAACTGTTACAGAATAATCACTCTCACACAGACTGAATTCTTTTGATTGCATTACTTCTTGGTGTAACATGCCTTTGGTGTGTACAGAGTAGCTGCAGTATTCCACAGCAAAGCAYCTTCTCAAACAATTATGGACAACCACACAGACAACAGCTGCCTGCCAGGGTAGGTAATGTAACAGGTTCAAAGGGCACAGGAATCCCTCTGGATCCAAACAGCAGAGGTGATCGATGTGATTTCACAGAAACAAAAGCAGCATTTCCCCTCGTCCCCTTTCCAAACAGMCGAGCTTTAAAAATACCTTCAAAARTATTAAGATTAAACAATATTGATGAAGAAAGTGTTTAAGCACGTGATGAAGGTTTCAACAGCATGGCTTCATTGCAACATTATTACCCAGGACCCACAACTCATTTAATGCCCTAAACTGGCTGTGCTTTGAACATGAGCAAAGACTGCACAGCAGAAGGAAGGATTTTCCTTCATTTACTGCAGAAGTTGGGAGGTGTGTCTCGACTGACAGAAGGAGCTGCACAGCTGCTTTGTGACGATGGCAGTTRAACACTGCTCTCCAGATCACACTTCTAATCCTGCATTTTCTAATTTGGATGAGCAGTACATTTCGAACCAAGTTTCCCCCAAAAAACTCCTATAAAAAACTGTAACTGCTTTATTTTCTGCACCTTCAGCTTCAGGACTGTCTGATGTGTGGGCACCCCAYGCTCTTGCAGGTGAGACTCAGTTCCCTAACCACATGTGAGTCYAAGTAGTTTCAAMATAAAAACAGAACAAAACAAACCCCAAAACAACARCAAACAAACAAACCCCCACTTACATAAGACCCCACAAAACACCTCTTCATTTCTCAAACATTTAAGGAGGAGGACCAAACTTGTTTTGCTGCATTCTGATTACCTTTAAGATCGTTGCCTTATCCCCCCTTTTTATGTTGTAGACAACTAACACCAACATTTCACTCAACTCTCCTGGCGAGTCCATTCCAAGTGTAAATTAATTTAAATTTTGATGTACTTTACCCTTTAATGTCATAGAAGAGCTCATAAAACATCAATTAGGCAAAGTATTTCATATAAAATTTGGCGTGTGTGCTGTAAAAAAGCACTGAATCTCAATATACAGGTACCTATAATGTACATACATATACACACATGCACAGGGGTTGGGCTATAAACACGCTGCAATGCCACACAGAAAATATAAATGGTTAAAACAGAAGGCACATGAGTAATCTAAAAATAAAATATCAGGAATCTTGATAGTGCAGTACACAAAGAATTCACCTATTCTCTTCTGCRTCTGAGATACCTTACAAAAATGCCAACTATGTTAAAAATGTTTTTAATAAAACAGCTTTCATTTGATATCTCCTAGAAACATTTTGCTTCAACACTACTCATATCTTCACTTCCTTGCACCATTTTTCAATTTGTTTGTAAATTATGAGAATTACTTAYCATTTAAAGATAGGAGTAACAATGAAATAATATCTACCTTTCCTCCACTCCCATTTTGCAAAGAAAAGTATGACTGAATCATGGTGATTTGGGAAAGTCCCCATCCAAATTAGTTTTAAAGAAGCCAAAGGTAYAGGATCACAGTCCAGGAAAGGGATGGGTGGGTAAAAAGAAGATGGCCTTTACRACCAAGTTACAGTGTTGAAAACCTKCCTAGAGTTCTATCAATGCAAATTACTTTGTTGGCTCCTTATTGCTTTCCTTAATCTTTTGAATCAGGAAGGCTAATATTTGGACTATAGGTTAAATAGAAACCAGGAAAGTTTTATTGTATCACAACACAAAGTTAGTAAGAAATAAATGCATGGGGAGAGGATAAGAAACCAAAAATCATTCTAAAAAATTTATTTCCTACGAAATGTCCTACCGAGCACAGATTTTGCTCCATTCAGCAGTTACAAACCCTACCTCTCCATGTTCTACTGAGCACAGATTCTGCTCCATTCAGCAGTTACAAACCCTACCTCTCCATGT